TTTGTTTTCTATTTGTATATAATACCTGTTTTTTACAGTAATATACGCGTAAAAAACCACGAATATTACGTGCGGGAACATACGTTCCAAACCCTGCTAAACAGTACGTATGTTGGCGTCAACTAGCGTTTCCAAACAGCTTTTTTTATCAAAACCAAAAGGTGTTGCACAAAGTACTGTGTGCAACACGTACGAAAGAAGATTTTCCAACTTCGTGCAAATTGCTGCCCTCGCTTCGCTCGGGACAGCAAACTTTGCACTCGTTGGAAAACAGCTTCTTTCTGTACTTGTTGCACAATATACTATAGTTGTACATAATTACTTTTAGTGGCAATAATTTTAATAATAATATTGTAGTCCCAATATTTTTAGTTGCAATTATTTTAAGGAAATTATTTTAAGTGACTATATTATTTTCAGTTTCAACAATTTGTTTGTTACATAATAGTTGTAATTAATTAAAAAGAACTAATTTGATATAGTAAATTTATAAATTTTTTTTAATTTTATTTTTTATTCTTTTTTTGGGGAAAACAAATATTAGTTTGTCCAATGCACTTGTTGTATTGCGTGGGATTTTGAATCGAGATGCAAGTGCACTATATATATAAATCTGTCGGTATTGTACCCAAGGCGGAACAAAAGCACCGACTTGAATTGTAACTCTACGATAAAGATTAGTCGTCAATATCCGGAATCGAGTAAATCACATTTTCTTTGCTTTAACTTGTCATGTTTTCTCTCTAGTCGCACTTAATCTTAATTCAACATTTTATTTTTTTTTTATTTTTTATTTAAAAAAAAGAAAATTAGCACCTTTTTCAAAAGAATATTTATTTTTTCGCTTTGTACAAAATTGGTGATTAATTTTTTTTCTAAAGGCAATTATCACCTTTTTCTAAAAAAAAAATTCATTTTTTCACTTTTGTTCCAAAATAACAATTAATTTTTAATCATTTAATTTTTTTTCTCTAAAAAAATTATCATTTTCTCTAAAGAATATATTTTTTTCTTTATGCAAAATTAATTTTTAATCATTTAATTCTTTTTTCCAAAGGAAATTATCACCTTTTTCTTATATTTTTTCGCACTGTGTGAAAAATTGATGATTAATTTTCATTTTTTCTAAGATAAAACAAGTTTTCCTCGGTTGTAAATTAAAAGCAAAAAAAAAAAATTTTTTTGCCTCTAAATTGTTATTTCTTTTTTTTTTCAAAATTTATGACCCTTTTCCGTAAGTTTGGACGTCCATGTGTTTAAACGGAATGTAGATATATAGTGAGAACAAGAAGTCTTTGAGACAAAACGCGCAACTGTAAATATAATAATAATATATAAAAGGGCATATGTAATTGAAGTGAGGATAAGATAAAGTCACCGAACAAAGAAAGCATAGAAAGACGTTTAACCTTGCAGCATCATCACGCATATTAAGATTAACGTATTTCCAATCGCACACGAACTTGAATTAATCAATTTATATATATTGACCGTGAAAACTGTCTTTATAATAATAAATTCGATTCCTTTTACATAAAAATCGTAATTGTTCAAATGTCCAAAACTTGTCCTGCTTGTGAATCATAATAAGAGAAATAAATAAATTAAATGAAAAAAATAATTAAAAAGATGTAAATAAAATAAATAAAAAATAATTTAAAGATGTAAATAAAGTAAATAAAAATTAAAAAATAATTCAAAGATATGTAAATAAAGTAAATAAACATTAAAACATAATTCAAAGATATGTAAATAAAGTAAATAAACATTAAAACATAATTAAAAGATGTAAATAAAGTATACATAAAAAATAAATAAAAGAAGTACATAAAGTTAATAAGTAACAAATAGAAAAAGTTGTAAAATAAATAAAGTGAGCAAAAATAAATAACAAATAAAATGAAAAATATATAAAATCAAAAAGAAATAAAAATATACAAACAAAAATAAAGGCAAAAATGAAAAAAATATATACTGAAAATATATAAATAAAAAGTTTATCGTTTTCTATATAGAACGATACAGAAAATAGAAAATACAAAAACAGAAAAGTATAGAAAAATAAAATAAAGAAATAAATAAAATGGTACTGTATTATTTTCAAAACTAGTAGATGTTAAAAAATATTTTCCAAAAATTATTTTGTCGCAGATATTTTGTCAAATTACTCAATTGTAAAAAAATTGTAATTTATTTACAGTAAAGTAGCGTGTTCACAGGTTATTATTACATTGTTCATCATGGATATAATTATGTCATTATTATAATTGATATTTTTTAAAAGGAATGGCGAATTTTAATTCCATACAATTGCAATATAAAAAGTGAATGGTTTGATGGTCATACAGTTAACAAATAATATAGTAGTCATTGCATTTTACTTAATGTTGTAAATTATCTCTCCCATCGTTTAAATAACAAAAAAGTAGAAAAAAAATTTAATTCATTCTTCAATTTACTTGATTATTATTAAATTAATATTTAATCGCATCGAATAATTTTTGTAAGCCAATTAAAACGTTCTTGTTTCAAATAAATATAAATAAAATATAATATGTTTGATTAAAATAAAAACTATTTGATTCAAGTATAATCAGTGTATAAAATATTTTTAATAAAAATCTTATTTATGACGCTTAAATTCATTGCAATAATCTGCCATGTGAAAATAATTTAAAAAAATATTAATACTTTTAACTTTGAAAATTAATAGTCTTATTAACTTAAAATTATTCTTGTTAATAAAAATAAGTTTTAATAGTTATTAGTTTTAATTTAGTTTCAATTTAATTTTATTTTATTTTATCTCAATTAAAAATAAATAATTAAAATTAAGCATTAAATTGAGAAAAATTTGCAATAAAGAGAAAATTAGACAAAAGGATTTGGAAAAAAGACATTTTAACGAAAAAGAAGTCATCATTTGATACTATGTTATTAAAAAAAAGAAAAAAAAAACACGTTTGGTAAAAACGTCACGTGCGATGATTCATATTACTATATAATTGATTCATTCTTGCGAATAAAAAGGCATTATGTCCTCGATTATGTCAATGAACATGTCGCATGCTCCGGAAGGAATTTCGTCACAATTTTTACACCTGATGAAAATTATAATTACTGCAATTACGAATTTAACAATGCAACATTTTATTCCTCAAAAGAATACAATTTCCGGTTCTTGAGAGAAGAAAACTATTTTTATAGTCGAAACACTTGCTGAAATTTATCGAAAAAAAATTTTAACTCCAGGAAAACAATTTCCGTTTTATGCAAGATTTTAATTAGGGTTTTTTTTTTAATAAATATTCGAAAAAATTTGCATTTTTGTATGAAATATATAATTTACTTTTTTTTTAGTTTTCTATATCTTTTTTTATTTTTCGTTTTTTTTTCTTTTTTTCTATTTTATTATTTTATATTTTTATTATTTACTTTTCTATTTTTCTGTTATTAATTTTTTCATATTTTTCTACTTACTGCTTTTCTATTTTTTACTTTTAACATTTTTATCTATTTTCTTTTTTTATTTTCTATTTTTTTCTATTTACTACTTTTCTATTTTTTACTTTCAATATTTTACCTATTTTCTTATTTTACTTTCTAAATTTTTTATTTACCAGTTTTTTTTGGTTAAGTGGTCTCTTCTAAAAAATATTTTTTAATACTTTTTTTTCCTAAAAAAAGCGATTTCTAAAATTTATTTTACAATTTTTAACAAGTTTTAATTTCTAGAAATTATTTTTTTTTTACTTTCAACATTTTTCTATTTGAATAACTTTACAAACAGATTTTTTTCTATTTTTTACTATCTGCATTTTTTTATTTAATATTTTTCTGATTTTTACTTTCAAAATATTTTTCAATTCTTTGTTTTTTTACAGAAAAATGTAGAAAGTAGAAAAAAAGAAAAATAGCGAAAAAGCAAAAGTCTATTTTTTACTTTCGACTTTTGTTTTTTGCTATTTTTCTTTTTTCTGCTTTCTACATTTTTCTGTAAAAGTGTAAAACACAAAAAATTGAAAACTATTGAAAGTAAAAAATCAGAACAATCGTAAATAAAAAAATGCAGAAAGTTAAAACATAGAAAAAATCTCTTTGCAAAGTTATTCAACTACTTTGAGTATTAATTAATTATTCAACCAATTAAAATTAATTAACTATTTAATGAAAATAATACAATAGTTTTATTCTAACACCGAATGGAGGTAATAATAATATAAATTCTATGTCAAAATTAGTGGATTTGACTTTTGGGTTTCTGTTATTGTCAGAAATATCGGGGACGACGCTTTGTTGTGCTTGTGATGCAGCTCATGTCGAAACATTTGCATTGAAATTGTTGCACCGAGGTGGTTTGCAACGCGCATAGTAAACAATAAATGAGTTATATACAGGCGCCAACGGCAGCGACGTTTCCGAGTTGTGAACGAATTTTATTTTTTTATTTTATCTTTTTTTTTTCCTTTAAAAAAAAGCTCACAAACAGTACAAATGAATTTAATATCAAAAGATTCGCGCGAGATAAAAGATATACACAGAAAAAACCTCGAACTGTCCATAAAATATTTTTTTTCCCCCATGAAAACTTTTCTATTGTGCAAATAATCAAAAAATTCAAAAAAAGTGGTAAATTCTTTTCAAAAAAAAAAAAAATAATGAATTAAAAATAAACGTGTTTCAACCGGAACAAAATACATTTAAAATTAACAATTTAAATTGTTAATTTTAAATTTATTTTGTTTCTATTCACGATTAAACATTTTTCTTATTAGAGAAAATTAAAAATTAAAAAAATTAATAATTACAATAATTAAATATAATTAATTAATTAATTATTTATCAGAGAAATTCTTTTGTTAATAATAAATTTTAAAAATTTCGTGTTTTGTACAAAAAATGTAATTATTATATAACATTTTAATTTTTAAAAAAAATTGTTTCTCTTTTTAAATAAAATAATAAATTGTTAATTAAAAAAATAGTGGGGAATTACTTACATTTTCTTTGGTTGACGAAATTTCCCTTTTATGCCTGGCATGATAGATTTTTGGCCTAATTATCTGATGCCTGCTAAAATCGGTTGAGGGACCTGGAAAAAACAAAATAAATTTTATTTTTTAGTCCAAAGATATAAAGATTAAATGATTTTAAGAAATTGCATTTTTCACTATTTAATGTTAATTAATTTAACAATTTAATTGACAAATTAATTAAAACAAATTAATAAAAATTAATTAAAACAAATTATATGAAATTAATTAAAACAAATTAATTGAAATTGAAACATATTAATTGAAATCAATTAACAAACTTAATTTTTTTAAACAATTTTGAAAAAATTTTTTTTAACGAATTATGAAGGGAATATTTTTTTTTCTTTTTTATTAAGTGAAATAAAAATTGGAAGAGGTTCTTGACAATTTTTTTTCTATACAAATAAGATTATACATTAGCTCTCGGTTGAGAATTGTGAATATATACCCTCGAGTGTTTGATATTGATCGACCGACAAAAACAGCATTGCTAAGCACTCTACGAACCTTAGAAACAATAGTTCACGCGAAGAACATCGATTGTTTCCAAAGTCAAGTTGTTTTAATTTCAACGACTATATACATATATATTGATTTTATTAATCAATTTCCTCTCACATTACTACACTCGAGAATTTTTGTCTTAAATTTCAACAATGCTAGTTTACATTATTCTCTCTTTGAATTTTAATTATAGTTAAAAATAACTATTTGTTTGTGAAATATTAGCTGACTTTTTACTTTAGTAATTAGTAAAAAAATACACAAATAATTATTATTGTAACTAGAAATAATTGTGACTAAAATTATTATTATTGAAGTTATTGTAGCTAAAAGTTATAATAAATAAAATTATTCTACCTAAAAATAATTGTAACTAAAATTTATTGACTAAAAATAAAAATATTAGTAACTAGAAATAATTGTCACTAAAAATGATTGCAACTAAAATTATTGTAACGAAAAATGAGTTTTTATACTAAAAATGACTGTGACTAAAAATAATTGTAACTAAAAATAATTGTCACTAAAAATAATTGTAACTAAAATTTATTGACTAAAAATATTAGTAACTAGAAATAATTGTCACTAAAAATAATTGTGACTAAAATTATTATTATTAAAGTTATTAACACTAAAAGTAATTGTAACTACAATTATTCTACCTAAAAATAATTGTTACTAAAATTTATTGACTAAAAATAATTGTAACTGGAACTAATTGCCACTAAAAACTATTGTGACTAAAATTATTTATTAAAGTTATTTTAACTACAAGTAATTGCCATTTAAAAATAATTGTGACTAAAATTATTATTATTACAAGTTATTGCCACTAAAAGTAATAAATTGTAACTACAATTTAGTGACTAAAAATAATAGTAACTAGAAATAATTGTCACTAAAATTGTTATTATTAGAGTTATTGCAACTAAAAGTAATTATAATTGAAATTATTCTACCCAAAAATAATTGTTATTAAAATTTATTGACTACAAATATTAGTAATTAAAAATAATTGTAACTGGAAATAATTGACACTAAAAATAATTGTGACTAAAATTATTCTAACTAAAAATAATAGTAACTAAAATTATTCTAATTGAAAATATTTCTAATTAAAAATAATTCTAACTTAAAATAATTGTTACTGACCTATTTACTAATTAAATAACTATAGTGACTAATTGCTAGTTAAATTTTACTAAAAAATATTAAAATAATAAACGTTCACTAACTTTTTAGAAAACTTTAACTAATTTAAAAAAATAAGTATTTATCTCCTTTCACGTGTTTCATTGTTTCGAATCCGTTTTATTGACCCGGATCAGAAAACGTTTTTTTTCCTGTGTATCTTGGCAGAAAATTATTCCTCTCTTCTGCCAGAACATGTGAGGAGCAAAATCACGAACTATATAGTATAAGGCAATATAAAGTTGAAAAGAAAAAAATTCTATATGCATATTTAAATACGTTGTGAACGAGAGTGTCAACGACCATTGAAAAAAAAACTTTCTGTATAAAGAACGATTATCCAGGATGTTCCCAACTGTGTATGCTTTCTTGTGATAAAAAATTTATCAAACGTTGTGCTCTTTCTGTTTCATATTCATGGCAAGTATTTATAGTTTGATTTCGAAATGAAGATGATAAAAATTTTGTTTTTCCGGAATTATGAATGAATTATATTTTACACCTGGTGTACTGTAGTTTGTCTTGAAATTTTCAGTGACAATTATTTTTGGTTGGAATTAATTTTAGGAGGAATAATTTTACTTACGTTTATTTTTAGTGACAATTATTCTCAGTCATGATTATTTTCAGTTCCGAGAATTTTGGTTAGAATAATTATAGTTTCAATTATTTTTAGTGTTAATTGTTTCTGGTTACAATGGTTTATACTTACAATTATTTTTAGTTAGAATAATTTTTTAATTATAATTATTTGGAGTGATTTTAATTATAATTATTTTTAGTTACAGTTATATTTCAGTTAAAATAATTTTTGTTAAAATATTTTTAGTAACAATTATTATAGTTGCAATTGTTTATAGTTCCAATTATTTTTAGATAGAATAATTATTTAATTATAATTATTATTAGTCAACATTATTTTTAGTTAGAATAATTTTAGTTGCAATAACTTTTAGTCCCAGTAACTTTTAGTTACAATTACTTTAAGTGACAATTAGGCTTTTAGTTCTAATAATAATTTTAGTGACAATTATTTTTAGTGACAATTACTTTTAATGACAATTATTTCCAGTTACAATTATTTTTAGTTACAGCAATTTTTAGCTAAAGTCATTTTTGGTTACAATAATTTGTAGTTACAATTATTTTTAGTGACAATTATTTAAATTTTCAATAATTTTCAAATAAATAAATAAATAGATTTTAGATAGAATAATTTCAATGACAGTAATTTTACGCCCAATTGGTTAATACAGTAATTATTGTAACTGTTCTAGTTATATATTTTTGTTTAAAAGTTCTTATAATATTCTATCTAAAATTTTCATCTTCTGTAAATATTTTATGTTTTACTTTAACCGCAATTAAAAGCGGATAATCTGAGTGAATGTATTATGCGATAAGGGGTTTATATGATGCGCCAAAGGGTTGTTTCATTTGACTTATGCTAAAGTGCAATTACTTTTTGAATATCCATATCGCGATTTGCCTCATTCAAATATAGAGTTTATTCAACTTCGCCAATCTAAATGTATGATCGAAAATTTATTTTATTCAAATGAAAAGCGTTTGCTTCAAATATATTTTATAATCGCAAATGCGATTCATAATATAAATCTATATTTTTTAATTAAGTTAAATGAAAGTAAATTTAATTTTTGATACAAAATTTTTTTTACTAAGAATTAGTAGAAAAAATAAATAAAAATAAATAAAATAAAATAAAAAACTTAAATGAAATGAAATTTAAATAACTAAAGAAAAATTTTTTCAACGCTAAAACTCGAGTAAACAATTTTAAAACTACTCAAATTTAGGAACAATCAGTTTAATGATTAAATAATAATTAATTTGTTTTTTCCTAAATTCAGTAAACATTGTCATGTCTGTTTACATAAATAAAAAAATAATACTTAATAGTAATTTTAAAAAATTTAAATTTAAACAAATTTTTAGTCTTTAGTTTTATAAAAATTTAAAAATATAAAAAAAAATATAAAGCTGATATAAAAGTTATGTACATGCAGCTTTTATGGTAAAATCAATAGAATCCGCTGATATTATATGATTCATCCCTGCGATTATATTGATTCTCGGTGGAGTTCACCAAAACTCGCTCATTTCAAGTTACAATTTATCACTTGAATGAGTAAAAATTTAATTACTCAGCGAGGGCTTCTTTGTATTAATAACATTTTTTTGGAGGGGAGGGGGTTCCCTTCAAATGCGGCATGATAAAATATTTTTTAATTAATTAGACTATAAATTTTTCTTTTAACACGCACGCAGAAAAAAAAATTTATTTTTATTACTGATATTGTAATTAATTAACTTTTATACTATAAAGACACGTACATGGCCGAAAGCCGAAAATCGTGAACTATTTAAAATAATTTGCAGTAAATAATAAAAAAATTTCTTTCCTTTTTAAGAATTTAAAAAAATATTTTTTAAATTTCTTTTTTCAAATTGATAAAATGAATTTGATCGAAAATGAAAGAAATTTTTTTAAATAAAAGCAGGAATAAAGTTTAAAAAATTGTCAATGATTTATTACACGAAAAAAAAAACGAATCAGCTGTGTAATAAATTTTTACTATACTTTTATAGTAAAAATTAAACTTTTTGGAATTTCGGCGCATTTTTGTCATTTTTCTATTTTCGAATGGGGAAACTTTACCATTTCTCCTCAAGTTTTTTTTTTAATATTTCCGAAGTCAATTTTACTATTTACTGCGTCAATTTTATTAACGTTCGTAAAATTGTTCTTTTCAGTAGTAAAACTATATTTTAGTCAGATAAATGATTTTATAATTTTTTTCAGTAGAACAACTAAATATTAGTCAGACATTTATTGAACTTTCGTTTACTTTCTCTCTAAATTTAAATATATATTTAAATAATTTGTAAAAATTTACTTTCTTCGTATAGTACAATTGACTTCGAAAATAGTAAAACTGACAGAAATTACAAAATGTTTTTTTTAACTGAAATTATAATTTTAGCTAAATAAAAATTACTTAATAATTTTTCCGTGCTCTCCGAATTTGAATTCGTGAAAATGTTTATTAATTTGAATTAGTGACTGATTTTTTGCTTTTGAATTAGTAAATTTTACTAATAAATAGTAATTTCCATGGAAATTACTAGTAATTAATTAATTAGTGCACTAATTCATTAGTAAAATTGACTATAATTCAAAAGCAGAAAATTTTAAACTATTTAAAAAGTTTTTCAAAAAGTCACTAATTAAAATTAGTGAATATTTCTACTAATTCAGATTTAGAGTATTCGAAATGAATTTCAGTAAAAGTAAACAATTTAATTCGAGCGCATAGTAAAATTTATATTTGTAACTTTT